GTATTGGTCTAGCAAAAGTTGTGTATGCCCTAGCTAGCAATTCAATATTTGCAGAGAAGAAGCTTCGTAAGATTAGATTTACAACTCATAATGCCTTTTTGGCAATGCTGTTACAGCGAGCTCTGGCGCTTAGATCATTAGATATGAGTACTCCTAGGTCATTGACAGAGTGAAGGTCATCAACAAGGTCATATCCGCCTAGTTTGTATTTGGTGTACTGATTTTTTTTTACCAATGTGTAGGACAGAGCATTTGTTGGTCGAGATTTGGAGTTGCCAAATGTTTGACCATTCAGACACATAATCAAGGTCACTTTGAAGAACAGTAGCATTATTGGTGGTGTTGAATAGTTTTACATCATCCACAAAGAGGATGCAGTTGCTTATGAGGTGATCACAAAGGTCATTTATAAAGAGTATAAAGAGTGTGGGTCCTAGAATGCTGCCTTGGGGGACACCGCTGTTAACTGGAGCAGGGTTTGATATAGCGCTCCCTATTTTTACTATTTGTTGCCTGTTTGACAGGAATGCAGTAATCCACTGTTGAAGGGATCCGGAAATGCCATAAGAGTTTAGTTTTAACAGTAGTTTGTCATGTACCACTGAATCAAAGGCTTTGCAGAAGTCTATGTCTATTGCTTTACCCTGGTCGAGTAGAGTAGTCCATATGTTTTTGCAGTGTAGGAGTTGTAGGTTGCAGGACGATTTTTTCCTGAAACCAAATTGTTTTTTGGAGAGTAGGTTGTTTGCCTCTAAGTGGAGAGTGATGAATTGGTTAATGATTGTTGCCATGACTTTGCATGTGACACAACACAGTGAGATTGGTCTGTAGTTTTCAGCCTGGCTGGGGTCAACTTTTTTGAAGATAGGGATGACTGTAGCTAAGGACCATAGGTTCGGTAAGGAGCTGGTTCTGAATGATATATATACCGTATTTATCGGCGTATAACACGCACAGGCGTATAACACGCATCTTCATTTTAAGAGGGAAATTTCACCCCCACTCCCACCCCACGCGCGCGCTTCAATCCACAGTGTCCCATTCTGCCTGCCTGCCTGCCTGCCTGCCTGCCTTAGTTTCTGGTTGTTTGGGAGCAGCTTCGGCTGAGAATAATAACTATTCGCCTCTTTTACTCAGCCGAAGCTGTTCCGATTCAACCATTAACGAAGGCAGGCAGGCAGGCAGAACGGAGCACGGCGGGCGGGCGGGCGGGCGGACGGGGTGGGGGAGAAAGGCGACAGGAAAAGCCCCCCCCCCCGCTTCTTTGAAGCAGTTTCTTCCTGTGCTGGTGGAGGAGCGAGACAGCGACTGAGAGAGCTTACCCAGAGAGAAGGACAGGCTTCGGTTGCTTCCTCCCTCCCCTTCTTTCATTTGTGTCCTTGATCCCCGATCCCAGCAGCATTCACCGAAGGCTTCTTAACATTATATCGGCGTATAACACGCATACATCATTTGCCCCCTATTTTCAGGGGGAAAAAAGTGCGTGTTATACGCCGATAAATACGGTAATGCTTAGGGGTGCCACTATGGCAGAGGAAAGCTTTTCTAAGAAGTATGCACATAATCCATCGGGGCCAATAGTTGGCAGCAGAGGTGGTTATAGACTAGAATTGGAGTCCAAAGGATCATGGTGGTGCAGTGGTTAGAATGCAATATTGCAAGCCAACTATGCCCATCGCCAGAGGTTTGATCCTGACTGTCTCAAGGTTGACTCAGCCTTCCTTTCTTCCAAGATCGGTAAAATGGGGACACTGATTGTTAGTGGCAATATGGTGACATTGTAAACCAGTCCAAGAGGATCAGAGGTGGTTTTCAGTAGGTTCTGACCAGTTCTGGAGAACTGATAGCGGAAATTTTGAGTAGTTTGGAGAACCGGCAAATACCACCTCTGACTGGCCCCGCTCCCATCTATTCTCTGCCTCCCGAGTCCCAGCTGATTGATTGGGTCTTCTTTTGTTGCCCTGTGCAGGAGAACGGAGCTGGAAAGCAGGTTAGTGGGGTGGGGAGGGAATGGGATTTTGCAGTAACCTTCCCCTGCCATGCCCACCAAGCCACACCACGCCCACCAAGCCACGCCTCAGAACCAGTAGTAAAAAATTTTGAATCCTACCATTGAAGAGGGCTGTAAAGCTCTGTGGAGCAGTATATAGCAATAGCACTTATATTTATATAAGTGCTTCACAGTGCTTTTACAGTCCTCTCTAAGCGGTTTACAGAGTCAGCATAATTGCCCCCAACAATCTGGGTCCTCATTTGACCCACCTTGGAAGGATGGAAGGCTGAGTCAATCTTGAGCCTGGTGAAATTCAATCTGCCAAATTGCAGGCAGCTGTCTTTCAACAGAAGTAGCCTGCAGTACTGCATTCTAACCACTGTGCCACCAACACCTTTAAGTCTAAGAGCTATTGCTATTACTTTCAGTCAGGCATTAACATAATCATTATTAAAATAGATTTTTATCCCGCTGTTCTATATATATTACTCAAGCTGGTGAGCACACTTAGTAATCCTACCTCCTATTTTTTCCCCACAACAACCATTCTATGAGGTGGGCCCAGCTGGCTCATATGCCTAAGAAAGGGCTAGATAACCACAGAAGGCCTGGTTTTGCCAAATGTTTAACCCAGTCAGCCATTCATACCATCAAATCTGTATACAGATAGTGCTAACAACATCCTGTGTTATAGTGATCATATGTCCTTTGTTATAAAGGACAGTCCTCTGTTTCAGATAGCTGTCCTTTAGATTTATTTAATTATTTTCTTGGTTTTGCTCTCGAATTTTCCTTTGTAAAGCAAAGTTAGAAACACAAATAATTTCCCCTCTTAATCCTTATGAACCTCTTTTAGATTTACCCCCCTTTCAGGTTTGTCCTTTATTTTGTTTCAAGAAAATATGGTCAGTATAACTAAAGGTAGTCCTCGACATATGGCCACAACTGAGCCCAAAATCTCTGTGGCTGAGTGGGCTTTGCCCCATGTTATGACATTTCTTCCACAGTTGTTAAGTGAATTGCTGCTGCTGTCAACTTAGCAAAATGGTTGTTTCACTAACTTAACGACTGCAAAGTTAATGGGGAATCTGGCTTCCCCGTTGATTTTGCTCATCAGAAATTACAAAAGGTGATCACATGATCCCGGGATCCTGCAACCGTCATAAATACATGCCAGTTGCTGAGCGTTTGAATTTTGATCACATGTCTGTGGGGATGCCGCAAAGGTCATAAGTGTGAAAAACAATCATACATCACTTATATCAGTGCCATTGTAGCTTTAAATGGTCACTAAGCAAAGCGTTGTAAGTTGAGGACCACCTGTATTCTATAAAATGGGTCCCAAGTGGGCTGTTTTGTGAGAGTGTGTCTCCATCTTCTTTCTCCAGGAAGCTCCACAGATAGAAATAAGGCGTAGGGAGGGAGGCGGCAGCCCGCCCTTTACATCACAAGCCCCCCAAAAAGGAGTCACGTGATCCAAGACAGCCAGTAGAAATAGAGAAGGGGGGTGTTCTATATTAACATTCTCCAAACCCCGAACTCTGATTGGTCCACACGGACCGCAACCTGATTGGCTGACTAAACACCCGTGATTGGTGCGCGAAGAGTCTACCGCGATTGGCCGAGCCGATCGCGGGAGATTCAAAGTGCTGTCATTGGCCGCCAAGCCGCGAGCTAGCTCTATAAGAAAAGCCGCACGGTTCGCAGGTCTTGTACAGAACTATATACTGAAATAAAGAGCTGACTGTTCACTTGGGTCTCGCGTCTCTGTGGGAACCGATCTACCCAGTCTAACAGGGGTTCTGTAAGGTTTTGTCGAGTAGACTTTGGTGAGAGACTTGGCTGGAATCCTGACAGGTGAAGGGGGCATTTACTTCCGACAAGGTTAGAAATTGAGGAGTTAGAATTTTTAGTTAAAAATAAATTACGTTAAGGGTTGTTTTTCATGTTCTTTCAAACTGACAATTGTGCCTGTAGAAACTTATTTTATATTAATATCTTTTATAAAGTTAGTTAGTTAATTAGTTTATCTACTTATTTATTTATTTATTTCTGAGGGTATTTTTTGTATCAATCATGGAATTGACTGGAGGCCTTCTATCACTCGCCTCAAATTGGCTGAGCTGCAGACGTTCAAAATTTTTAGCTTCCCCTTCTACATTTAGCCAGGGGTGAGAGTTATGGTGGGAAAGATTTTGATGGCAGAGTTGGCTGCAATCCTGAAAGGTGAAGGGGGGCATTTACCTCAGACAAGGTTAGAAATTGAGGAGTTAGAATTTTTAGTTAGAATTGTCTTAAAGGGTTGTTTTTTTAGTGTAATGTGGTTATAGTATTATCATTTAGCCTTCTTATTATCTCCTTTACTCCCACCTTTTATTGATATTATTCTTATGATGATTATTCTGTTGCTTTGCATGTGAACTGAGGGCTTCTGTACCAGAGGTTAATTCCTTGGGTGTCAAATCACACTTGGCTAACTAAAGTTCAATAAAGTAAGGATGAGGATCCATATTCATTCTTTTCACATACCCACAAAGTTTTCATGGTATCATTTCTTGAGAATTCAAATGTTTTACTAGGCTAAAATAGGGGAATCCAGCCTTTATCTTTGCATGTTATATGACCCAGCTGTTGTGTTCCAAATCTTTAAAATGGAAATGAGATTTATATATGCATATTTTTCAGTTTTATAGATATACAGAATCATGAAGGGAATTTTATAACTGTACTGAAGCATATAACATATGGACAGATTTCCCCCCTATTGTATATGGTCTACTAAATGGAAATTTATCTAACTGAGTAAGTAAACGTATTATTTACCTGTATATGAAAGGCACTATTTGGTTAAAGACACTCTGTGGTGAAAAAGTGAATGATCACTGTGTAAAGAAGCACAGTAAGATAGACTTTTAAACTTACTTATTCGCTACTAGCTGCTAATACAGAATTGTTAAGTAACATTTAATTGTTTATAATTGGCTAGTATTGTATTGAATAAGAGGCAAAAAAATACTGTAATTGTATCCCCACACATCTAAGGTACTTTGATGCTAGAAAAAGAATTGAAAAGAGAAAGATAAGTTTGATATCATTTTGGGATGGTGGCAACTAAATTTTAGCTATATACTGTATAACCAGAAAATTAATGCAGAAAGAATTATGCCACTTCTGACTAAAGCTGATTTCTTCATACTTATATTTTTCTTGTACACAGTATTCTAAGACTTGAGTTCATAGTCATATATACCATGACTTTCTTTTAAAAAAAGGTTATTTTAAATTCTTGGTAGAAGTTTAGGTTTCATTTTGTTTTTCATTTTCTTGCTAATGTTTATTGATTTGTAAAAAATGAGGAACATTTGATATATCTAAAAAAGGATTGAAAATCATTTCTACCCAAGTTACATTATTTTGAAAACAGATATTACAGTATAGTATACTACAGTACAGTATGACATAATTGCAGCTCAGTATATATTTTCTTTTTACATTTTTTTAATGTGCAATAGAATTCATTGATGCTTTGCAGTCTCAAAAGAATGCAAATTGTTTAATACTGATCCATGCTCCAGGCAGAATCTCTCTTTTTTTGGCACTTAAATAATCTAATCTGTAGTTTTTATAGATATTTGAAAAGCTACTCCTAGTTTCACAACACATAATAAATAATATGACAGGGTACCCCATCAGTCTATCAATCTGGTGGTCTTCCACAGAATATGCAGTATCTTTTCTTCATCAAGACATTCATTCCAACTATGGTAAACACATTTTTGTTGCACAATATGTGCAAGATTGAACTCTGCAAAAAGGGTCTTCTTGCAGGGAAGGAGCCAAGTTTCCAAAATCTACATCACTATGATTTTTGCATGTCCATGCATGGGAAATAGAGGCCAAAAATATTCCTTTGGATCTGGTACTTGCCTGCTCTCCTCTTCACCCACACAGCAGTCTGATTAAAGACAGAAATAAAACATTTTATGCACATACAAGTGGAGTGCCTTCCTTCTTTTGTCCATTTTCTCTCTCATGATGGACATTCCTACAGGAGTTAACGGTCTCAATTCCATTTGACTTAGTCAGAGGGAGAAACGAATCAGAAGACCCCTTCCATTGGCTCCATTAACTGCTTTTAGGGTCCTTCATTCCCAGAATTGCCTCCATTAACACCCTTGGAGGTCTCAAGGGAACTGTTTCGTCACATTCCCATCCACTATTATTAAAATTCTTCTGAAAAAAATATACACACTCTTCAGGTATTTATTGGAAGAATGTTGGGGATTCCTTATGTTAGAGACTCATCATTAGCCCTCTACTTTGAAGCATAGTGCATACATACCAAGACACATAGAAGGAAGAAAAAGATGGAACCCAGTAAGACGGAGAAGCATATGAGGATGATGGCCCAATAAGGGAGCTCTGGAAATAAGAAATAATGCAAATGCATAAATTTAATGATGAAATTTACACCCTGTCCATTTACACCCAGCCCATTTCCACCCTTCTCATTTCCACAAGCCACATGCACGTGCATCTGTGCTTTGGATAGACTATGCTGATTCTGTTTCAGTTTACAGCATCTTCTATAATCTATACCATAACAATTCTACATTTCTTCAGTTCAACGCAGAGGGAATGAGGACACTGAAATCTGAAGCTAAAGTATCTTGGGATAAAAAAAATCCTAATTACCTTGTTTAGATGGTCCTGTTGTCATGGTTGAAGGAAACACTAGAAAAGAATGGAAGGAAGGAAGGGTTCCATTAAATATGGAAGGGGTAAAAGATAGGAAGAGTCCAGCAGGGATCAAACAAGTCAAGATGACAACCACCACCATGCAACGGAAGCTTTGCTCTTTTTTTTTTTTTAACATGTGATGCTTTCATTGTATGTGATAGGTGCCATCTTGATTGCTTTTTTACACCCCCACCCACCCATGGAAATCCCTGGCAGAGCCCAAGATTCTCACCTTGACTTGTCTCTCCTTTTCTAATTTATAGCTTCTACCTCTGTCAAACATACCTTGTGCTTCCCTCATCTTACCATTAATATTTATGCTGTTATTGTCCAGGCTGTATTTCCCCATTAGGGTGGCATTCTGAGTCAGGTTTTTAAATATATCATACACAAGGTCTTTGTCAAAAGTCCTTGAACCAAACTCCACTGCAAATGCGCAGATAGAACTGACACCAATTTGAGTTTCATTGCTAGTGGGTCTGAAAAAGAAAAATACAAACCATGGTAAATATTAAAAACTGAGGTTGAGAAGATAAAAATCTGATATTTGTATTTGTTAATGTAAAAACAAAGGACTCATTAAAGTTTTGGAACAGTAGTGGCAGTAGCAAATACAAACAACAAATAGATTTGTGAATGTGGACTGGATACTCAATTAGCTTTGCATCCTGTTGAAAAACACACCTCAAGTTTTTCACTGAACAGCCCAGAAAACTCTTGTTCACATCACTGCGTTGATACAGGTGGTTGAGCTGTTCCAAGGAAAAAGAAGGGGATGGATTAATGGACTACCAGGAATAATAATAAGTTAAGAAAGAACCAAACCTATTCCTCTTCTTTAGGTTTGAAACAGAAAACTTCTTCCATACTTAATTCTGCTTTAAGGAACATGCTGGCTAAAGCTGCAGCATTATCCTTTGCATAAGAGGTGTAAAATGCTCATGATGTCAAATGTGGGGTGATAGATATAAAAAAAAATCACTACATATTCATATTATGTGTTCCCCCTTGTGTGAGGAACACAGGGGCCCACACAACCATGGGTTTGGCTGCACCTTGCCTCTATTAATAACTGCAAAATTTTCCATCTTGGAATTCTTCACCTTTTGAAATTTTATAAAACAGAGTCTGGTTTAATAAAACTGTTAAGGGGCTCTAGCTGGTGCACACTGTAATCAATAAAGTTAAATATTAAAAACAGAATAATTTAGGATTATTTTTTTTAAATATAAAACATTATAAAATTTCAAAAGGTGAAGAATCCGAGGTTGGAAAATTTGCAGTACAATGGACATCATAACTGGCCTACTCATGTGAATTGTAAAATGGAGCAAAATTGCAGTGATCTGCTCATTCCTATTCCTAAGGAGTTAGGCTAGCTGTTAGATATTGCATCTGTTGCTAATTGGTGGTTCTGCAGGGCATTGTATTTTCTGGCTATGTTCAACTGCCCAAGATGCCTTTTAGGTAATGGAGAAGATGACCCATATCTTACTCAATTCTCCACTTCAGTATCTGACTTCCATTTGATAAAATATCTATCAATATGCAGAATTTGTCAAGGGATCCACTTTCCCTCTTCTAGCTCTGAAATGGAAGATGAATAGAACAATTCTTTTTGTAAATATTCTTGCATTTCTTTAAAAGCAGGGGGCATGTGGACTAACAGATAGTACGTTAATTTTTCTTTCCAAAGTCAGTCTTATTATAATTACAATACTTCTTCTTAAACATACTCTAATTTAAAGACTTTGCTTGGGAGCAGAAAGGAACATACTTGAAGATTTGGAGATGAAAAATATGATTGGGGTGGGATATACTTGCTATTGATCAATCTTTTTTTAAGGGAAGGCACTTAAACAATCACACTGCCTTCTGTTGTGCTATAACATTACATTAGCATTGTTCCAATGCACAATGGATAAAGAAAAAAATATCTCCAAACTGTAGAACTACTGCTGTTTCTTCTTGTAGGCAGAAAACGTACACACATTTAGGGACTTCAACATCAGTTAATCCTATAGATGTTTTCAGCCATTTACCTCATCCTTGATGCTCGCTTTGGTTTTCTGATAAACCTCTGACTTTGGATTCTTCATGTTCTTGTATGGCAAGTTGATAATGGTGAAATTTACAGTGAAGTTCTTCACCTTTAGCATGTGTGGGGGCTTATCAGTTACTGCTTTGGTATTTGTTTCAAGAATTTTCAATAGAAAAAGGAATGCACAAATATAATAAACATTTCTTTTCATGTAAATTTAACAATCGCTCAGTCAAGGCAATTTGAAATAGTGTACAAAAGCTAACAACAATGCAATAATAATAATAAACATAAGTATTTAATTAAATAAATAAACTATATAATTTTAAAATATAGTTAATGTAACCCTCCTGTGTTTTAGGAAATACTTTTTTCTTCAGATTAGTACAGAAGGGTGTTTTATAATATACACATGGGATTGGTTGCACCTATTTTTATAGATTATTATTCTATAAATGTATCTAGAGTTGTTTTTGTTAATTGTTCTAAAGCCTAAAGCCTTTGGGACAAAATAATATAAAATATATAATAAACAAACAAACATTCCACAAATGGTGGAGGTCCTCTCACTCCAAGTCCAAAAGGCTTGTAGCAAAGTTATTATAAGCTTCTGAAAGACCCTAAGAGTGTTAAAAATCTGCCTGCTTGCCCGCCCACCTTCTAATCTAATCTAATCTAATCTAATCTAATCTAATCTAATCTAATC